AGAAGCTTTTTGGTTACAGTGGAAGGGATAACATGATCTGGTCAATCTGGCCAATGCAGAAGATAGTAGAATAAGCAGTACATACAACCAGCATTAAAGAAAAATCAAAATTATGCATCAAGAAAAGGCAGATTCAAGAGCCAGTTTGGTGTAGTGGTTAAGTGCGCGGACTCTGTAGTTCTGATAAGAGCTGTTCTTGAAAAAGAGCCGTTTCTGTCAGAGCTCTCTCAGCCCCACCTACCTCCCAGGGTGTCTGTTGTGGGGAGGGGAAGGGAAAGGAGTTTATAAGCCGCTCTGAGACACCTCTGGGTAGTGAAGGGCCGGAGGGTATAAGTCCAATCTCTTCTTCTTCTTCATAAATTAAATAGTTTGTATTATTTTACATGATGTGCTGCTTTTCCTAGCCAAGAAGGGCAAAGAGCCCATGGCATTGAAGCCTCTTAGCTGAATAAAGCTTCCATCAATTAGACATCTTTTAGATATTTAATCAGGCACGGCCCACGCATTTTAAATCCCACAATGGAAATGAAAGAGCTGGAAACATGCTTTTCCTTTATTTTAAAGCGAAGTCACTAAGCCATCCACTTAATTACAGTACACAGCCATAGCCATTTAGGTTACAAGATTAAAGTAAAATAGATGATACTGGATTAAGTACTACTGGACACATACAATAACAATACAAAATGTTAATAATTGAGCAATATCTCTAATTTCTGTTTCTCACCCAGATATTATGAAATGGATCGGTCTCATTGCCTGGGTCATACATAAGGCAATTCCCACCATAGTCTCTTTCTGGCAAGGGGACTCCTAAATTTGGATCGATGAATTTCATGAACAGTCTTCCATCTTGTACTGTCTGCAGAAATAGATGCATTAGGGGGGGAAAAAACTCTGAGAAGATTCTGAAACTTGACAGGATCAGAATACTCATAGTACACAATGATTTTTACATGTGTTAAACTGTCAATGCAGATGGACAGCTGTGCTCTCGTAAACAGAGATGACACAATCAGACTGTTGACTCAAAGACTGAGTGAGATCAGGTGTTGATACAGTGTTCTGAAAGACTAATTATTTTATCCGACTGTGTATACATTCGATCATGCCCCAATCCGAAGAGTAGGAGCACCCCACCCCTAACTGATTTCTTTTCACCACTATCCTGCCTCAGAGGACATGGATGCACTACTCAAACCACATGCTGGTTCTGCTCAAAGACAAGAGGCCTGCTGAGTCGACACCTGGCCATGAGGGTCTAGTAAAGTGTAGTGTAAAAGCAAACATTTCTCTGTCCAGCCGTCCCCCAGCATGAACAAAGAGTGGCAATATAGAATCTGAGCTAAAGACACTTCTGGATACTTAGAGGCTCCAAGCTGGGAAAGAAGAAAGCTTTGTCTTATAAGTAATCAAATTGTAGCATAGCTCGGTTCAATAAGGTGTGAAGGAAGGCTTTGCCGGAGATAGACGGCTATATTACAAGGTTGCTGGTAGCAAGCCACTTTTGTCTGGTGCTGTCAGTATCTTATACCACAACAGCACATTTCTTCCAGGCCTGCAGGATCTCTGGAGCTCTCCTTGTGGTCCATTATCATAAAAGTGATATTAGAAGTTGACAAGAAGCGGCGACCCGTGATACTCACCGGGGGGGGGGGAGCCCCACCCAAAGGGGGAGGCCCCCACAGGTAATTTTCCAGTGGCGGCGGCAGCAAGGCAGTTCTCAGAGTGTTCCGTACACCTTGGATACAGCGTACAGATACATTTAATTCTCTTTTACTTTTGGGGGGATTTAAGTATTCCCCCCTATAATTTTTTTTATAGATTTCAGATTTTTCTGCACATCTGGGAATCGCCCCAAATGTGCAGGAAAATCTCTTTTCCCCCTAGGTGCCCCCGATGTGCAGATTTAGATATCCGCATGCAGGGGGTGCCTTGGCTATTAGATATATAGATGGTATTTCAACAGGGAATAAAATCTGGCTGGCCAAGGCTCAGTTACACACTGGTAAAGAACATGGTTTGTACAACCTAGGAGCTGCCAAGAAGAGCTTGCATGGCTAAGAGACACAAATGATGGCTCCAGTGCCCTCCCAGTAGTCTAAGAAGATTTCTCTCCCAGCCATAATGCACCAACACAAATCTGACATGTCACAGGACCAATTATGGGACTCCCAATCAGTGTTCCCTCTAAGCTGAGTTAGTGTGAGTTAGCTCACAGTTTTTTAGCCTCTGGCTCATATATTTTTGTCTTGGCTCAGGAAGGAGGGCTCCGGAGCAAACTAATTTATGCAGGAGCCAAATCACTCGCTCACAACTTTAATGCCAGGGGCTCACAAAGTAGAATTTTTGCTCACAAGACTCCACAGCTTAGAGGGAGCATTGCTCCCAATACAAGAATACCACATAAACATTTGGTCAACTGTGAAGGGAGAACCATTCTAACTTGCAAGAAAATAAAAAGGTCCTGTCAGCTTCCCAATGCTGCTGTTTACATAAATTCAAGGAGGAACAGAGTGGGAGGGCAACAGTCCTGCTCCTCGCCTTGTGAATTAGAGTCCACATACGGCTGGAAGGAGCATGACAATCTCCTCCTCCTCCTCCTCCTCCAACAGGATAACGTAGAGGCCAAAAAGAAGGAAATCATATAAAGTCCATTAATCTCTTGCTCAGTCTCTGGATCATAAATAAAGAATGTACGTATGTATTAATCTGAGAGCAATGTGGTCACAGCACTAACCAACAAGGGAAGTACAGACAGATTTGATCTCTATATTTTACATCTAAGAAAGCTGTGTCAAAAGACAACGTTTAATTCCTTACCTGAAAGAGTATGAAGATGAGGAAAAGCTCATATACAACACTGACACACAGCCAGAACCTCCAGTAAGCTAGAGGAACAAACAAGAAAATCAGAACATGCATGTATACACAAACTGGTTTAATTGAATTTTTTAAAACAGAAACCAATTCCTGCAAATTATGGAATGATCATAGCTTCAAGAGGAAAGAGTAAACAATATGTTTCTGGGAGTCCTTACAGTTCCAGTGAAGCGAACTCTTTGCCCAAGACTATTTGGTCAATCAGTACTGCTCACCAAGAATTGTGCTTGCAAAATAGTACACACCTTGGATACAGCGTACAGATACATTTAATTCTCGAAAACCAAATTAGTCCCAGGCAAGTGCCTCCCTGCAAGCCTGGGATAAAAATACACAAGAGAGCCAGTTTGGTGTAGTGGTTAAGTGCGTGGACTCTAATCTGGGAGAACCGGGTTTGATTCCCCACTCCTCCACTTGCACCTGGCTGGATGACCTCTCTCAGCCCCACCTACCTCACAGGGTGTCTGTTGTGGGGAGGGGAAGGGAAATGAGTTTGTAACCTGCTCTGAGACTCCTCTGGGTAGTGAAGGGCGGGGTATCTGGGAGAACCGGGTTTGATTCCCCACTCCTCCTCCACTTGCACCTGGCTGGGTGACCTTGGGCAAGCCCTAGTTCTGACAAGAGCTGTTCTTGAAAAAGAGCAGTTTCTGTCAAGAGCTCTCTCAGCCCCACCTACCTCACAGGTTGTCTGCTGTGGGGAGGGGAAGGGAGAGGAGTTTGTAAGCCACTCTGAGACTCCCTTGGGGAGCGAAGGGCGGGGTATGACTCCAATCTCCTCCTCTTCTCTATATGGAATTTAAGCACTTTTTCAATTATTTGTTTAGGTTCAGGATCATAGCTCTTATACAGAAAGCAAGAACAAAACTCGTAAGTTCTACACGCGGTCTGCACAGTTGAACAACTGCTATTTCTCTCCTTCTCTCCCCAGCACTTTCCAGGCCACACAGAACAGCTTGCTAGTCTTTTCTCCAGGTTCCTTAACTTCAGACCCTAAAACAATTTTCAAAACCCCAAGTTGTATGAAGGGGGCAGCTTTCTTTCTTTCTTTTTAATTAAATAATTATCTAACAAGCTATAACTTAAAAAAAACACAAAATCTAAGTATTTCTTAGGTATTGAGGAGTTCTGGCAGGTGGTTTGATTCACATACTCAAAAAAAGTATACCAGGTCTCTATAAACATATTTTTCCTATTAGGATTCTCAACTTGTATTAATTGTGAGACTATCTTATTCTGGACCATCAAGTCCCCTATTTTATCATACCCCTGTGCAAGGATCCCTCTAATCTGTGGGGTCTTGTGAGCAAAACTTCTACTTTGTGAGCTACTGGCATTAAAGTTGTGAGCAAGCGATGTGGCTACTGGATAAATCAGTTTGCTCTGGAGCCGTCCTTCCTGAGCGAAGACAAAAATGTGTGAGCCGGAGGCTAAAAAGCGGTGAGCTAGCTCACACTAACTCAGCTTAGAGGGAACACTGCGGCCCCGTGCCAAAGTCGGTATATTCTTAGTATCCCATTGCTGTGCCAATATTATTTTACCAGCTAACAGGAGATGGGTTAATAGATCCTTCCTCGACTCTATGATATTTAACTCTGGCGGCCACAGATTTAGTAAAATAGACTCGGGCGTATTTGGAATTAAAATTCCTGTTATGTCTTTAATTTTTTTGATAATATTTTCCCAATATGCATATACTACTTTGCAACCCCACCAACAGTGGAGAAACATTCCAATTTCATCACATTTCTTCCAGCATTCCGAATTAGTTCTTAGTTTGCTTTTATACAGCTTATATGGTGTTAAATAACACCCGGTAATTAGTTTATATTGTTGCCAACAGATAGGTGTAGATCTAGATTTAAGCAAGGGAGTGTTCCAGATTGAATAGGGGGCAGCTTTCTCATACAGCTGGTTCATGATACAAACCCTCAGAACTTAATTTTGTCTAACAGGCACATGTGCCATAAATAAGTACTCCACAAAGCCTGGTTTGTGAGTTCAGGAACTAAACACTTCAAGTTTCAAGATCAAATAACTTCAAATACCTCAGGAAAGGGAATGTTTTACAACATTAGCAAATAGTAAAAAAAGAACAAAAAGAGAGGATTAAAAGAGAAGTAACCCACTGCAACTGGACTAATACATCTGGAAGACTCCATACTGTAGTCTGCTGTAAACATTCAACGAAACTTAAAAGCAATATTTAGTCACTGATTCCAGGACAACCACAAGAACTACCCTGTAAAGGCAGGATAGTTAACAATATGATAAACACTTAAGAGATCCATCAGGAACAATGAGCCACTGCACACATGCATGATAAAAACTCCCCCCTCTCAGGAAGTCTCATTGCTGGTAGTGCAGAAAATTTGGCACAAAGGCACTCTGAGCCAAGAGGAAAGGTGGGGTAGACATATTTTAATTAAAAAAAAATAAACTGTGCATTTTACAGACTAAATAGTCAGGCTACTCATTGTTACTTAATTTACTGCATACCTCTTCCCATGCTGCATGAAGCCATGGCATAACTACAAGTTCAATATCAACAGAGTTATAATCAACAAATGGCCAGGTGAGGGACGCAGTAGTAAATATATTTGTAAAAGGGAATTCAGAGAACACTGATAAGTTTACGGCAAATTAACTGATCAGTGTCTTTTGATATGGTCAGCATTTTGGTGAATGCTACATTTTCATAGAGAAAACCCAATGTCTAAGGATCTCAGTACTGCCTGTTTTGCCAGTATTTTCTTTAGACAAACACCTGCTTTTTTAATTAAAAGGTTTTTAGACAAGAACAAGATTCAATAAATCTAACAGAGGTTGTCGTTATCACTTCTTTGCAATGCTTTTTTTAAAAAATCAACTTGAGTAAGGCTGCTAAATCAGTCGTTTCAGGCTGATCTGGTTTCCACTAAGGAATAGGTGCTAGCTTGGATAAGAGTCAGGTGGTTCACTTTAAGTGACAAAGAAAAAAGAGAGAGAATCACGGAAACAACTATAACAGATAGGAACAAACCGTGACAGACTAACTAATAATAATTACTTCCAAGTGCATTTTGGTAATTTTATGTAATTTCTACATAAATAGTGCAAAACATATCAAGTTATTCAGTGTGTAGCATAGAAAAATACAAAAATACCAAATGCATCGATCCCCCATGCCTTAGAGTCTTGCCTTCTTCAGAAATTTTTTTGTAATAAGGCCTTAACACTACTGCGTAAATCTTTTTGAATTAATAACAGATTGAGATTGTATTTTTCTATGCTACACACTGAATAACTTGATATGTTTTGCACTATTTATGTGGAAATTATATACAATTACCAAAATGCATTTGGAAGTCATTACTATTACTTAGTCTGTCATGGTTTGTTCCTATCGGTTCACTTTAAGCTGACAAGGTATTACTTCTGATGGTAGGATTACAGAGTTTCACTAGTTTCTCATAAAAGAAAACAGATGGCAGTACGGACTGCTGTACCGCAGATGTATCTAGATGTTCTTGAACTAGAATATTATCTTAATTAAGATAACACCTAATTATGTACGCTACACATTTCCAAACCCGTCATTTTATGATGATCTCATAAAGAGATCTTCCATGATAAATATGCACTAGTTACTTGCTAAGAATTTACTTCTCCACAATGACAATTGGCTCCCTTATTCTACTCTCATGATGGAAATTTCTTTACTACTTTAACAGTGCAATCCTAAAAAAAGTTACAGCATCGTTAGCCCACTAACTTCATCTGACTTGATGTAACTCTGTTTAGGATTGCACTGGAAATTCCCTAGAATCATGGCATTACTAAAACATTCCTTTTGCAATCACTTTGAACTGTGAAAAGCAGTTTATTTTGTGCTTTTCAAGTAGTTTTGGAAATCATGTTTATGCAATTGTCAAGATGTTTGCATTTATAGAAACTCATGTATTTCAGGCTAAGTAAAAATGGACTACTTGTTCCTTTCAACATATTCTGATAGCTTAGTTGTTCAGAATTACAAAAGCGTCTTCATTCTACCCAGTCAGTTTCTTTTGTTCTCTTGCCCAGAAGTCATGTACACAAAAGGGCAAATTCCTGAAGTAAAGGTCAGAACAAACTTGCATTTTCTGAACTGTTGTCCACTGCTTTTGTCTTCAAAACCTATGCAGGGTTCTAAGTACTCCATATATCATTGCCAAATGGTATACATGATCAAGTTTGTGCTTGGTGACTAAGGCTAGGATAGTACCTAAATGTACAATAGCAAAATTAATTTAAAGCCACAAAAGGGAGTAGGCTGAATTTTGTGAATAGCTCCATATTCTCAGCTTCTTACAGGGATTATTATTTTGTGAACTCTGCTGCAGAGATCTAAAGAGAAGAATAGTAAATACAAGCATTGGTAGCATGGCACTTTCACCCCGGACTAACAATTTGGGGGCAGAGAAGAGAGAGACCTTCTCAGGTGTATCTAGACCCAAGGCATATGATCAATATCCTGAGAACATGTTTCATTCACCTTAAGAGTGACAGGCCCATATCACGTAAGTCAGAGTTTGGCTAAACTGCCACTCAGCCTCATGTATAGAAAGATTTTGAACATGATGGTGTCAGCTAATACCCCCAAATTACCGTAGAGGACATAAATGGAAAACAGAAGGTTTACAGAGCCATCTTAAGCAGTGACACCTTTCTAAATCCACTGAAGTTCATGGCTCTGCTAGTCTGGAAAGTGAAATCTAAGGACTCATACAGGTGAGAGCTTTCCAAATTATGCCTGGTTAATAGTGTCAATTAATAAAAGGTCATATTAATAAATCAATTAATAAAATTAATTAATCAATTAATAAAAGGTACTTGAAGGCCCTGTGTTGTTAAACAGAATCTCCTAATAGTTACACAGATCTTAAGATTATGGTAGTAGAAATGTTTTGAATATAATTTATGTTAATAGCAGCTTGGATTACCTGGATGAGGTCTTGAAAATGGCCCATCTTTAGCCTGAGTGACTCCAAAACACAAAAAGACTAAAATGCTGGCAACAATACCTCTGAAAAAAATCAAGAACAAAACACTCTTCAGTGTACATCTGACCTCACAAGACTAAGTCACTTGGTATTTGTTAAGTACCTTCTGAATGTTCACCCAACATCTAAATTAAAAAGACTATAAGTTTCAAGGAGCTGTCTTAAGATCAAAGTATCATGAATAACTCTAGTTCATACTAATTAACAACCAGTCTCTTTGGTACGTTTCAGCAGACAAGAACATGCAGTAAGGAAGAAAACGATGCCTGTGTGTTCATTAAGAGCCATGGTCAAATCCTTCCAAAATGCAGGTACAGAATCTTTAAAAGGTTGGCAGGGGAAGGGAAAGGCTTATCAAAAGCTTATTCCTAGGCTGTGTTGAATAAAGTGCCTCAGGCCCACTGATCAGAGCTCACTTTCTTCACATTCACCATTAAATCCCTATATCCCCTACCTTGTGGCCTCATGGACGTGGGAGACCTTCTAAGTAAGATATGGCCAAAAGATGTTTCCGGAATGTCCAATGATTTGGCATTGGAATCCCTTTCCCACAGAATTCTGCTAGGCATCCTTGGCTTGTTACGCTGAAGAGTAGACATAGCAATTTGATACAGATCAAATTCCCTTTTGGCAGGCACATCTATTTATTTAATTATTTTTAAAGAAATTATGCAACCTTTCCACCCAATCAGGGTCGACAAGGCGGGAAGGAAGGAAACATGATCTCTACAGCCATAGCATTCATATGCTCCTGTAGCTCACTCAGCACAGGTAATACCAAGGGAATGTTCAAGGCTTCTCACAAACATTAAACATTTTGTAGCAGGAACTCCTTTGCATATTAGGCAACACACCCCTAATGCAGCCAGTCCTCCAAGAGCTTACAGTAGCCTCTGTAAGAAGAGCTCTGTCAGCTCTTGGAGGATTGGCTACATTAGGGGTGTATCGCCTAATATGCAAAGGAGTTCCTGCTAAAAAAAAGAGCTCTGACTCTAGGTATATATCTATATATAGGCCCAGCTTTGAGTTCAGAAGTTCAGAGGGTCCAATATAATCCTTGCAGTTAGTCTACCGTTGTCGCTGTTTACTACAAAGTTGTGAAGTTGTTTGTTACAAGTGCATCGCTAGTCTAATATAAGAGTTTCATGGAATATTTCATGAAGGTGCAATCTGTTCTTTAAATTTCCATAACTACATAGTTTTATAGAGCTGTGTTCATACTATATGTAATGTATAACATTCAAAATTAAAAATTGTTAATCAAGGAGTAACTAAATTCCGTATTGTGGAAAGCTGAGAACATTGGGAATTTGTGACAAGATTCTCCCAGTCATACAATTAATATAGTTATATTGTATGTTATATTTTTTATTCATTTACAGCCCACTATAGGGATGGGCCCGAACCTAAAAAGAGCAGCCAATGAATTAAACCAGAATCAAAAGGGCCCGAACCAAACTGGCCTGACCAGTTCCTCCTTTCTCCCGGCCGTGGCTTGCAGTTCCTGAGCTCCAACCTGACCCAAGTTCGTGGCGAATTTTGGCTCGTGAGCCAGTTTGTGCCCATCCCTAGTCCACAATTCTCACCAAGACTCAAGGCAGATGATAAAACACAGAAAAGAGCACAGGGCATCCAGAAATAAGAGGCTGTACTAGAGTCCACGGCTGACAACTGTGACACAGTCCCGCTATCCATAAACCCAAAATTGCTCAAGAGTACATAATCTGAAAAACAGAGAGTTATCTGAACTATTGTCCCAATAGATTCCATACAACTTGTTTTGAATATTCATATGAGAAGGGATTAAAATCTAGGAGGAAAATCAGATTGTTTACATTATTTACTATGCAATGAATAGAAGGGCAAAACTTCATACAGCTTTTATAAAACAGGACCATTTCTTTGTTTTTTGAATAAAGAAACAGCAGTTTTTTAATCATGACAAAGGGGCTATTCTATCAATAGTAGTAACAGTTTGTTGAAATAAATAAAATTTATACTTGTAGCCTTTAAAGAATTATCATTCTGTACTAACAACTCCTATTTGTAAGGCCCCATTCACTGTGCAAAGGATCTAGGAAAGGCTTGTATTCACACAAGGCAGTCTGCTCATAGTGAACAAAACAAGCCTCAAATCATTTCACCATGCATTTTGAAAGCTGAATTATAATATATTAATTGCTATGTATAGACAATAGCTTTTCAGAGAGTTCTGCTTGGCACATATGTTCATTTTTGTCAAACCAATTCTGCAGGCTTCTGCAACACTTCAAGCAGTAGCTAGAAAAAGTACAGGCAGCTAGGCCAGCAAGTAGGGCTACCAAGTAGGGCTTGTTAATGTTTTATTAAGTTTCAGTTTGTTGTTGTTCAGTCGCACAGTCAAGTCCGACTCTTCGCAACCTCATGGACCAGATCACGCCAGGCCTTCCGGTCTTCCGCCGTCCTCTCGGGGGGCAGGGATTCCCCCGCCGAAAGGTTCCCCAATCTGTCAGTCCAGATCTGGCTGGTGGGGGGAACCCCACCCCCGAAGTGGCCAGATCAGGCCAACATTCCCGGCACGATGATGTCACCCGGAAGTGACATCATCACGCTGGGCACATCGCCAGGCAACACTCTAGCAATCTCCCTGAAAACTCTATGGTACCATAGAGTTTTTAGAGCGATTGCTAGAGCATCGCCCGGCAACATGCCCAGCGTGATGACGTCACTTCCGGGTGAAATCATTGAGGCGTGCACGCACTTTGCGTGAAACTCCAGGACCAGAACCGGGTCCCCCCCCCCATACCAGGTAAGAGACTTGGCAACCCTACCAGCAAGAGACTTAAAAGAGAATTTTAATCACTGTCCACCCAAAAGTCTTTTTGCTTTCAGCAGCTAAAAGGATGAGATGTGGCAGTCAACAATTTGGTCTAGAAAAGCTCCCCTTCAAATATCAACACCTGGGGGGGGAGCAAAAAGAGCAGCCACATTACCTGCAGCAGCCAAACTAGCAGGAGGATTGGGAGAGGACTAGCTGAACATGCTTGGACTACGGATGAAGCCACAAGCCTGCACAGGCAAAACAAATCTCTTTAAATGCAAAACTCTGCTATTTCGCCAGTCAGGTAATTCTGCAAATTGATCTGAGGGCAACAATTGTTGCCAGTATTTGAATTTTAAGCCACTTGGGAGCCAACATGGCTGAAAAACAGGGTAGTAACATAAGAAATTAAAAGTTGAAATGTGCTGCCTTTGTGCCTTGACTGTTGCACATATAATAGGTAGTGCTTATAACAAATGTCACAGAGACACAAAATGCTCAGAATAGTGTGAGCTGGTTTGGAACTATAAAACATTTAAGTTGTACAAATACCACTAGGGCTGTCAGGTCCCCCTGGGGGGGGGGGGAACCCCCGCTCAAGAGGCCCATTCCCCGCCGGCCTGGATCAGGTCGCTGGGGGAAACCCCACCCCCAAAGTCTGCGACGTGTGCGGCATGAAGACGCCACCTGGAGGTGACATCATCACGTCAGGCACATTACTGGGGGACACTCTATCATTGAGGGAAAACTCTATGGTTTTCCCACAAATGATTGTGGCCCCGCCGCCAATGTGCCCGACGTGATGATGCAAGAAGACTCCTGGCCAGGGACAGGGCTCCCCCCGCTATTAGGTAAGTTTGACTTGGCAACCCTAAATACCACATATACAAACATGTAACTCTTTCAAAGGAGACATAACACTTCAAGCATACCCTTGCTTTTTTGTTGTTGTTGTTCAGTTGCACAGTCGAGTCCGACTCTTTGCGACCCCATGGACCAGATCACGCCAGGCCTTCCAGTTTTCCGCCGTCCTCTGAAGTTTGCTCAACTTCATGTTCGTTGCATCTATGACACTGTCTAACCATCTCATCCTTTGCCGTCCCCGTCTTCTTTGACCTTCAATCTTTCCCAGCATCAGGGTCTTCTCCAGTGAGTGCTCCCTTCTCATTTGGTGGCCAAAGTATTTGAGCTTCAGTTTCATTAGCTGGCCTTCCAGGGAACAGTCAGGGTTGATTTCTTTTAGGATTGACTGATTTGATCTTCTTTTAGGATTGCCTGATTTGATCTTCTTGCAGTCCAAGGGACTCTCAAGAGTCTTCTCCAGCACCATAGTTCAAAATAATCTATTTTTCGGCGCTCGGCCTTCCTTATAGTCCAACTCTCGCAGCCATGCATGACTACTGGGAATACCATTGCTTTGGCCATGCGGACTTTTGTTGGCAGGGGGATGTCTCTACTTTTTATCATGCTGTTTAGGTTCGCCATCGCTTCCCTCCCAAGGAGCAGGCGTCTTTTAATTTCATGGCTGCTGTCACAGTCTGCGGTGACCTGGGATCCAGGAACGTGAAGTCTGTCACTACTTCCACGACTTCCCCTTCTATTTGCCAGATTGCTTTAGCAATGCCCTAGTATTAACAGTTTCCCCTCATGGGGGTCTAAAAAAAATTGCATGTGTGTCAGTCTCACCATTTCACTGACTTATATAGGACTTGGAAGTGATGACCACTGGGGCGGTTATTAGTAGGCTCTCCTTCACCCCTCTTTACATCTGAACACTAATAAGTCTTCTGATGATGAGTTTGAGGCTCTTGCCTCTAATCTTAAGAGTGATGTTGAACTTCAGAAACTTAATACTCAACCATTCCCTGCCCCCAAATAGGTACAGCTGGCGAGGCTCACTAAATATTTCAAGATGCCATCTCGGTGGCAGTTTTATTTAGGTCACAGTTTGACGTTTGTCTCTTCACGCTCTTTCATTAATAAGAAAACAGAGGTTTTCCAACATGAAATTTGAAGACTGAGTAAGCTGCTATTTTCTGCTCTTCAGCATCAACAATACTAAATGATCACAGGAAGGAATGAAACATGTTAATGTGATAAGTTTAAATCTGACCTCAGACTAATTATGAATTCAGGTTGATGCAATTATTTTTACTTTCTATTTTAGGAATAAAAGTAGTTAATGCATGCACGACAAGTGAGATAAGCAAAATGAGACCCAGT